TCGATTTAATGTATCTTTTATGCATTATTTAAAAAAAAATTAGCGTTGTGCACTTCTTCTCTATATTCTCTATAAGTGTGGAAAATTTCATACTCCTCCGTCCGCGCAATTTTCGTAAAAAGGGATACAAATTTTTGCTTCACGTATTAATATATAGATAAATTTTTAAGATACAGATACAAATTTTCTAAGCAACTAAACACAATTAACAAGTTGCGAAGATAATCAGGATACCTAATTTTAACTTAATCAACTTGTGAATTTAGTTGACAATGATTAATCGCAATTATGTCTTGTATGTCATTGAACTGTTGAAGCCCGAATTGAACAATAGATGTGCGTGTAACGGTATGCGCATATTGTCCTGTCAAGAAGTCCTAACTTGCCTGACCGTTAGATGACTACGATTGTACATAATTTATTTTCAAATCTTCTAATCTTTAACGTTAAACCGCAAGCCATTGTGTATGCTTATTGGACCGGCTCCAATCATTGTATGCAATCAGGAAAGCATTCGTATTTCATTTTGAATTGTCATTGAAGTTTTAGGTGCGAAAACCACGGCATTATTAGCATATATCAATTCTCTCCGAACTGTGATCGTGCGTAAATAAAAGTAAATATACTGAATTACCTTGACATGGGTCCGGTTTAGTTATTACGATGACCGACCGAGAAGTTAAATGAACTCATTAGAGACATTGAACTTGTAACACTCATTATGGGTGAACAGATAAATACTTCAATGAATCGTATATGTTTGGAACGATTGCATCATTGTTATATCTAGTGTTACCTGTGGTCACTGATCAATTCGAACGTAACTCTCGTGCTATTACGAGAAGAAATCAAGGAATTCTAATAACAATTTTACGTAATAAAACCCCTCTGGGCCCTCGTAAAAATAATCGTAAATAACAAAGAAATAATATCTTATTAAGCTGTCTACTTTGTCCACATTAAACGTTCTCTGCTCTCTAAATAGCTTCTTAACTGCCTAAGCATTTAATTTCCTCAAGCGATTTCTTCATATTGACCATTCTCTGCTTTTTTCGCTCAGATTCATGATTATTTTCTACCAGGTCAAAGAAAATACCAGCCATACCTCTAGTTAGTTAACTTAATTTGCTTCTAAAAGTGTTTTTTATAGTAGAGCATTGTATTCAGATGACTCAAAAATTTTAGCGGCACATTAACGATTTAAGATTTACGTGTTAAGTGTCATGAATTTTGTAAATCGGATGACAAACAAAAAACTTAAATTTAAAGCAGATGTACAATTTGTATCATAATTATGTAAAAACATTAAAGAAAACGCAAGGTGACACGAATTATGTAAAGTTACTAATAGAACTTCATTAATAACTTAAAAAAATAAAATACTCGCTTACGAAAGGGAAAATAAGAAATACATCATGGTCTTAGTAGCATTATCATCGTTATTGACATAATTTCTTAGGATTTTATCAGTTATTTCTTTGAAGTCTTCCCATTAATTAATTTTTATCGCAATCAATAATACTTAAAGGTCCGTTGATATCCGTCGTAAGTAAAATGTTTAAATTCTTATCACTGTGCAATAATAAATGTTTTCCTTAAAATAATTTAAATAACGTAACCTTTTCTAGACATCCGTCTTTTTAGTTATCTCCATATTAGATCCCTTTCCAAACAAACTTATCGCATCTGCGCATAGTCAACATTTTATAACGTAAGTCACAAAAACAACAAAGCAACGACACTAGCAAAAAACCCAATAAACATTGATGGCCTCCTTGATACCGGTTACTTAAGATATTTAAATAAGAAACCGAATATTTAATCTGAGATTTCAAATATATTTTTAATTCAATAGAGGATTCATGCTTTAAAACTAAATTTTGTTACTGATTGTTACCATGTCGGATTAATCATAGACTACAGACCGATTGCCATAATAATGGAAATCTCGATACGGTCAAAACAAGCACTTAACAGTCGGCAAATATCGAATACAGCTCGTGTTAGTCGACTGTTTTGGGGTTTGTTGTCGTGGGAAAATTCATTACTTTCCATAGGTGAAAGTGTGATTATTGCTGGAGAGCGCAACAAGGCAAGCTAAGTGCGGTCGACTCTGGAGTGCTGGCACTAGTTAAAGCAGCTCTTTGTGACTTAGAGGCGAGTGCAACTTTGATGGATATTTGTAAATCTGTCTGAGAGTCAATTGCTCCCACTTCAATAATTTACATTTTGTAAAATAAAAGACAGGGACAATCCACTCTTCAAGTGTTTAGTCCGTTTAAGGAATTGAGTGAACGTAACTATCCAACCTATACAGAGACTGCGAATTCGAAATCGATCCTATAATATATATTTCTAAGAGAACGGTATTTTCAAATCATGGCCCCATCCCTCTCGTGAGCGTATTACGAAAGCTTATTCATTATTTTAATACTGAAATGTCATCAAATCTTCAACCACGGCTATTGTGGGGTACGAAGTCATTGTTTGCAAGCTCAATTTTTTTTGGCCTGAAAAATGACTATTCTGTTTTCCCAAAAAAATACGTCAACAGTTACATTCTGAAATCTTCATGAATCTGGTGATTTTCTATTGAAATGTAGCCATCACAAAAGGAAATAAATTTCATTTGCCAAAACTAGACAAACGTCGTAATGAAAATATTCCTAATGATTGAGCAGTAATACGTACCGTATGCATATTTCTGCCCCAAAGCAAAATACCATTCGCTATGAAACGTAGAACGATCACCAACCATCAGTAATCAACTAACAATTCTTTTAACATCATGTTTGTCATTATGATATCCAGTCATGTCATCCAGGATGAAATGTCAGGGAAACTCCTAATGACATTTAAGATGCTCGTCAAATTTATACATATATCGATTGCCAGAGCCGGCACCGCGGCGGCGAAAGTGAATTGTGCATCGACCGTATATATTGCAAAAGTCAGTCTCGTGAAAAGCAAATCATTCAAACCACTACACATTTTGATGTCACTTTCCGTATTTAAGCCAGTATTTTTTTAAAGTTCCAAAACAAATTTTGGAATTCAAATATGCTCGTGACATCAACCTCAAATATGTGCCGTTTCATCCACCCAAATCAAAACACACAAATGTTTAACATATTACTCGTAAATTATAAATGAAGGAAAGCAACGCCATTGTTGAATTGATTTCGTCAAAGTAAAACCCGGTCGCGTTGAATATCAAACATTACAGTACGATAAATCAGGTTTCAATTGTTTAATTCATCCATCAAACAAGTTATCTTCACTGTGTGAATTTAACTAAAGAATACAAAACAATGTCAGCATTTTTTGCAGTACTTTCGTAAGGCAATGCCAGGATTTCAGTAATTACAATGTAATCCTAAAGGAATAGGGGCGAAGGGCATGAAATACGTTGTGTTGTTTTTCTTACGTTGGAAGTACAAGCCCATTAACTTTTTGATACGGGTACGTTTCGTGAAATACAGAGCAACGCAGGCCTGGAATCTTCCGTGAGACCCCATAAGTTCATAAGAAGGGATCAAGCGAGATTCCCCCGCGACTTCTTTTCGTTGGTACCAACGAAAAATTGCGGCCAAAAGAAAATTAGGTTACCAAAACAAATTGAAATTTGGAAGCAATTTTCTCCCTCAAAGAATAGCCACTTTCAATTATGTTTTTTTATATAATTTCACACAAATGTAACTATACTATCACAAACTAAATATAATCAAAAGACTAAACATTATTTAAATTAAGTTTAAAATAACATGGCGAATAAATAACTGATCGCAACCATTTTCTTCGAAACAAGAGGTGGCTTGTTCAATTGAATATTATAACACTATAAGTGGAACCCGGTCACGATTCACTGTGACTAGGGCTAATTGTATGAAAAACATCGATTTCTTGACATTACTCGCACGCCACCTACAGTACGTTCATTGTCCATATAACAAAAATCTTACCTGGAGTTCCAACAAAAACAACTATACCACAAAACATGAACAATGACAAAAATGACAAAAACATGAACATACAAACGAATTTCGATTTTTATTTACATTTAATTATAGGCTGGACTGAACAAAATGTATTTATTGCCAGTGATCTCAATTAAAATTATCGGAGTCTTCTCTGTAGGGAGCATGAACCACGTTTGTCGATTCAGTAACGTCGTATCGACCACGAATTATAAGCGTACCGTGATTATTTATTTTCCTCAACATTTTGACATGAACACTGTGAACATACACATGTGAGTGACACTGAATAATTTATAGTATTTTAGGTTTAAGTCTTTCTTTTACACCAACGTACGTGCGACTATTTACTAAATTTGTAAGAAAGTTAAACTGTAATTTTAAACAATGAATTTTTAGTTTGAATTACGCTCGCCCATGCTCATACGAGTAATCGTTCATTCTCAAAACGAAATATTTTCGGAAGACCCATAAAGTAAGTTATAAGTAAATAGGCAAAAAAAAAGTTGAATCTACTTACTAATCTAAGTACATATATAGAAATGAATTGCTGTTCGTTAGTCTCGCTAAAACTTGAGAACGGCTGGACCGATTTCGTTAATTTTGGTCTAGAATTATTCGTGGAAGTCCAGGTAAGGTTTAAAAGGTGAGAAAATATAAAAAAAGCTCGGAATTATATAAAAACAAACAATTTTGTTTTTCCTTTGATGTGTCCCCTTGATGTGTCTTTTATTTATCGATTGAGGCACTACGAAGTCTGCCGGGTCAGCCAGTAGAGAATAGAGATTTGCTTTTTATTGATAAAACACAATTATGAAAGTTAAGATAAGAATTTATTAAAAACGTTTTCATGATTTAATGTCGTAATGTCGCGTAATGTTACAATAAAAATTTCTGTAATTCTGCAATTCTATAATATTTTTTCTGAAAATCTGGAAAAATGGTTTTTACAATTCTTGAAAATAATATAAGTGATGTAATCGTACAACTAATTAAAATAGTAAAATAAAATTATCATCGCAGGCAATCGTTCTGGCGACCTCGCACTGACGCTGAGAAACGATGGATGATGATAGCTGGAGTGGCCGCAGTGCTCGCCGTCGCGTTCTTGGCAGCCTTCATCGCCAGCCTTCTCCTACGAACAACCAGCGACATAAGCGGTAAGATTTCATGCTACACCCAAAACGCGGCTTACAACTTTTCCAGAACATTCAAAACCTGAACACATGATATATAGTTAGTTTAAACGGACAACGATTTTTTTTAATAAATCAATGATTTTTTTCTCCCGACAAAAATATAATCTACATATTTATAAATAAACACAAACTACAATTGACCTGAGAACTACCAGAACAATCGTGGGATAAACTATAATGGTTCATTGAATTACATCACTGTTTCACAAGCCACATTTAAAAGACTAAAGTAAGTCTCTAAATAAAATATTGGCTTTATATATATATATAAATGCAATAACGGCTAGCGTAAAACTGCATTCCACTAAAAGTACCCATTGATAATATAAAATCATGTCAATTGAAATGTATCTGCGTTAAGTGGGATATTCGATTATGTACAATGGAAATTTTATTTTTTAAACTCGATTAGGGCGTTTTTTAAAACCGCGCGAGTAAATATTGGCAGTACCGTTTAGATAGCAGTCCGGTAGTATCCAGATCTGAAAGGTGAGTCAGGCGTTATACAATTCAACTGAAACATAGGTCAAAAACTCAGGTCAAAAAGCGGACGGCACTATTCACGTTTTGATGTCCGTAGGCTCCAGTAATTTCCAGTAAATTCAAGTAATAAAAAAACAGATTCAAGCGAAACTACAAGCTCCTAAAAAAACAATAAAAGCGATAGACACTGGTCAAAATTCATCAAATAGTTTAGTTTTGAGCTGGGTATTTATTTCGAAATTCATTAAGTCACAAAACGATAGTCAAATAGGGCGGTGAATAAAGGTGCATTGTTAAACTCATCTTGGTATGCCGATCGAATGTTTAATGAGAGAAAATTCTTTGTATTATTCAAATCGTACTGTTGAAATGTATCTATTAAAACTATATGCGAATAAGTACTAGATTCAATATATTTTTGAAAATTCAAAGTGACTTTTCTTAAGTTTCGGCTATTGAAACTTGAGCAGTCAACGATTTTTCTTAGTATGCAAATCAGTGAACATATTTAAATAAAACTTATTATTTTACAATTGGTGTCAGAAGCCACACGTGATTTTCAATTAATTGACCTAGCTTTAGCCTACTTTGAATATCTATGATAACACTGTGCGAAAACGTAACTACTAAGTTCAGATTTGGTTAATTATTTTAATTTTTTTTAGAAAAAACAAATGTACGAAATCACATTCTAAATCTTTGCTAAGAGAGTCAAATTTCACAGTAATTATAATATGTACAATTGATCCCAAATGTGTAGGCAACTCTATTAAACCAGTTATATTGAATCATGATCTATAATGAAATTAAATAGTAATTTTGTTTTTTTACTTTCATGATTCTGACAAATCATGCGTCATCAATTTTAGCAACATTGCGATAATTAAAAATGGCGTTTTTTTTTAAACATTTATATTCCTCGTTCGATCGATTTCATTCAGAGCGTCTGAGACTAGAACAAGTGCTAATGTGGATATTGGCACGTGATTGAAATTTTCACATCGCTGCGCTAAATTCAACCACCAGAAGACTTTTAGTCTCAGGTGATGTGATGTTCGCATACGATATGAACGATAGATGAGTCGACTAGTATCAAAGCCGGCAATGTGACTTTTGGACAATTACTGGTAAATCAGAAAAACGAATTATTGACTTTGTATTCCATTGGCAGTCACAAAACTCTTCTGAACGACATCTTAGATAAATAACAGGTTAAGTATTAATCTTTATTTAATGCAGGTTTTGAACCGTATTCTTTGAAGGAGACAATTATATTCAAATNACTTTTGGACAATTACTGGTAAATCAGAAAAACGAATTATTGACTTTGTATTCCATTGGCAGTCACAAAACTCTTCTGAACGACATCTTAGATAAATAACAGGTTAAGTATTAATCTTTATTTAATGCAGGTTTTGAACCGTATTCTTTGAAGGAGACAATTATATTCAAATCAATCTGTATTGACATATCAATAACATTTTTTGTCCAAATGCACAGATTGCCACCTTTGATAATAGACGACTCAGATATCTTAAACTTTTTTAAAAAAAAACTAAACTCGATTTATTGTAAACATGATGAGTTCGCTGTCTGCAAAGGAGACTTCTTTTTATAAAAATAAAAAAATAACCATTCAAAAACATTCGAAAATTTACTAACATTACGATCGACTGTTACCAAACATTAGATCACGTTATATGTTGAAACTACAATGGCCACGCTTCAGTGCACGTACGCTCGCGACCGTCGTCGCGTCGTCAACAGCAACATTAGAAAAGCAACAATACGATACCTCCTGAGGTCGATTTTCACATATTTTGTAATAAACATTGAGAAAGATAAACGCGCAATAAATATTATGGCGAATAGAATACATGGAAACAATGCGTAAAACGTATTTGTTAAATGGAGCGCAGTAAACGTTATTGAGGCTAGCTGTACGTACCGGCACGGACAGAATATTACAGTAAACTTCTGAGATATAATTGAAATCGTAATTAGTAATTATAGTTTATTCATACTAGATTATGTAAAATTACTTGTTAATTGCGGTCTATTGCAGTTTAGCAAAAGGAATTAATGAAAACCTTCCTTTAACCAAGGAAACTAATAAGGTTAATTATAGGGTCGTCAGGTTAGAGCCCCGTGAGCTCACCCACTAGTTCTGTGAATCTAGTATAGCATGCAAGGTTACTAGAACAAGTAGGAAAAAAAACTGTAGGGTTGTTTACGTTTAAAATGCTTTTACCCGTTAACTCGGTACCGATGATGACTGAGCAGGGATATGGATAAATAAGATACTGGATGAGCGAGCCAATCAATTTCGAAGTCTTCGTGGCCTTAAATTCTACACCCGGTGTGCTCGTACCGAGCTAAGTAATCACGCTGGTGTTCAAATCCCATAGACAGGTACCGATTTTTCTAGTGAAATACGTACTTAACACATGTTCAAGGAAGACTTCGACAATGAAGGAATAACATCGTATTAAAGAAATAAAATGTATGATTCGTAATTTATAATATTCAATGTCAGTGACGGCATTCACGTTGTAATGTCTATGGATTCTGAGAACCGCTTAACAACAGATGGGCGATGAGCTCGATCACCAGTTTAAGCAAAAAAAAAAAAAAAAAACAAATAAAGTCTCGGCCAGCAAATATTCTCTTATAATAAACAAAAAATAAATTTTTACTGAATGTTTGAACTTCACTTATTATTTATTCGGGGTCGACGCGATCAGAAAGTCAGAGGAAACGAATGCACTTTTTGAGGACAAGTTCAATACATGAAAAGGAGGTCAATATAAACTACAAAATAAAATAACTTCTTTTACGAACGTTTCGTTTTTTTTGTAACAGCGTTTAATCAAAGGTGGACGTAACTAAATTTGACCTACTATACCTATAGTTACATAAAAATTAATTACTGTCACTTTGTAAAATGTCCCCCTTTAAAATCCAATTAAGGGACTTGAAAGCGTGCACTTTGCAGGGAGAGCTGTTGCATTTAGTTAAAAGCTTGGGCTAACTTTACAAAGGTTGACCTTTCAATGCTCTTACATGAGCTGCAATGTAATTTAAAATATTAGAGAAAATTATCCTCTGGTTCTTTATTGCATTGCCTTGAATGTCAATACCTTATTGATGATGTTAAGCCACATTAACTACTTTTTTTTAAATAGAACAGTATACCGATATTAACTTTTTACCTAAAACTACTTTAATATAGTGTACTTATGCATTCAACTACATATATATATTATAGGTTACTGCTGTAGTGGGTTGTTCCAATAATGTAAATATAGAATGAAATCAATATTAGTTTCCACGAAATAGCCATTCTCGAAAATGTACCAGCTATTATATAAAATTTTCATATTGAAATCCTACTTGACTTTTTTTGTTCTGTCCTTAGACATGTATTACATTTAAAAATATATATTTTCTATTTAGTTTTTTGCATGACTTTTAAACATGTATTAAAGTCTGTTGTAGTTGTGTTTATTTTATAAATGTATGTTTGTATATGTAACAATTTATCGACATAGTTTATGAGATTGTTATTAAGTGATTTAAAGTTTTATTTCTTTACTTTGGAACCAAATCGCTCTTGTCCATGAGCTAAGACGAACACTGCTACTTTATCGGCAATAACAAGTTACATTCCTGTTATATAGAATATGTTATGTGTGCATGGAATACATTAACCAGATTTTTTTTTGCTTAATCCGAGTGACTCCTCTTTATAATGACATTCAGTTAGCATACCATTTCATGCAAGTTCAATGACATTCACAAGCAAAACAAGTTTCAGAATCGAAACAGATCAAATCATATCCACAATCACAATCACACATCACAAAATGTTACCTTCTTCTTCTTCTTCTATTATTATCAAATTTTGTTTTTTGTCGTTATTTCACACAGGAGTATCATCTCATGTCATGTCTTGTTCACTGTCTTGTATTGTCCTTTCACGATCATCCACGTATCATATATCTGCATTTTAGACATGCCACAAACTAGTGAACTGAGACTTTCTTCATCCATGCCACCTGCAGTGGTCGCCCGGGGATCAGATGACGTGGAAACGTGTAGCGCACCTGGGTGTATCCATACAGGTAAGCCAAAAAATTTTAATAGTTGTAAAATTCTGTTAGTAATCAAGATAAACCCGGTCAAATCGCGTGAAAACCGAGAGCACCAACCGACTTTTTTACATGTTTATTTATATGCCTATAATTACTAAATTATTACAATGAAAACCCAGTCAACGTCAGATTACTGTCGGTGCATCTCAACAGTTAGATTATTTTGAAATAAAATATTTCTGCTTAGTCTTGTAATTTTTTTTTAAAATACTGAGTAGTGTCATTTAGCAAATAATTAAACTAAAGCTCATCAATAGTTATTAGGCAATCAGGTATCGATTGATAATACAGGATATTCTACCTAGCTTGTAAGTTTTATTTTATTGCTATTGTAGGCCCTTGTGAGCATACGGCCCACCTGATGGGGGGTGGTTACCGTCGCCCATGGACGTCAGCAATGCCAGGGGTAGAGCTAAGTCGCTGCCTACCATTAAATGTTTTTATCTTTGCTGTTTGCTTTTGATTTAGTTAATATATAGTTCATATTCGTTTTCCCAGTTTACTTGCTAGGATAGGCCAGACTAGCTCACATTCTGTATTGTGTTGAACGGTTACCGGTACTTACAAATATTGTGTTTTTAACTCCGTTGTCTATTTTGAGACAAATCAAATCAAATCAAAAATTTTTTATTCAACATAAAAGAAAGTAAATGAAAGTTACATACTTGTTGAACGTCAAAAGAACTACCGCCAATTCACAAAAACTAGCCTTCCTGAGAAGAATTGGCAAGAAACTCAGCGGGCACGTCTTTTTTTTTAAACATTAGATTTTTTTTAAATATTCATTTTTATAATGAGTATTTTAACGTAACAATTATTACAATATTGAAATGCCCGGAGCGAGCAACTCATTCCCACTTTGTGCAATCTTCTAGATAATCATTGAATTTATAGTAAGCTTTATTGCACAGATGTTCCTTAATAGTTTTCTTAAGCCTATGTATATGTAGGTTCTGAACATCTTGTGGGATTTTGTTGTACAGGCGCACGCAACAACATCGTCTCAATTTTTCTCACTTATGTGTAGTTGTTCGTCTACTTTTCCAACCGGACCGAACGCAATGGAAAATAATTAAAACCAATTGACGCAAAGTCAGCGGTCACGGCTGGGAACCTAAGTGTTTGTTACTCACCTTTCGATTGCTCGTTCAATAAATATAAATTACCTAACAGGATAAATTAATCAAAGTTTTCTTGATTTATTGATTACGCTATCCATGCTTAATATTATATGAATTTGTTTGATTGTTAATTTTGGTTTCACCTCTTATCTATATTATTACGAGCGAGGACGCGTATAAAAGCTAGTCTTACGATATTTTCGAAGAAACAGCAAAAAAATTCTAAATCAGTGTGTTAATTTTTATGGCTTTCGACACTGTTATAGCCTCAAGACTCCTGCTGAATATGGATGAAAAAGTAGACCCATGCGACAATTTCTACGACTTTGCTTGCGGGTCATTCTTGAAAAATACTAGGATCCCAGACGACAAGACCTCAGTGAACACGTTTTCAATTATCACTGATCAACTCCAAGAGCAGATTCGGTCACTTTTAGACGAACCAGTCACTCCTGAAGAGCCGAGACCATTCGTGCTCGCCAAAACCTTGTACCAAGCTTGCATGAACAGAAGTAAGTAGTTGAAATTCCTTTTAAATAGACAATAACAATATTTTAAGTCCCGGCCTTCGTCGGTAAGGTCTTACGTGGCTTACTAGATCAAGTTGTTAATGCTATCTGACTCTCATAAATAGAATAGAGTACTAATATATAAATCTACAGTGGTTTTTACGGATGTTCCATTATAACTACTGAACCATGCATCCGATTGACTTGAAACTTGGTATCCATGTAGAAAATACATGTACTTGATGGATAGGCTAATACTTATACGAGTGTTGGACTCCCTAATAATAATGACACTAAATAATAATGTTAGTTTTAAATGCCCAATGAAGCGGGCGAGTACGACTTCGTGTTTGTGTATGTATCTGTTCACGAAAATAATTGCGACAGTTTAAAGTGCCGCAAAAACAAGCCGCGGCGATAAACGAGAGTGAAAGTACTTCTAACGACATCGCTTCCGCTATTTCATAAGTGTTGTGTGATGTAAATATAAGCAGACAACTTTAAGATAAGGTATCCTGATGATTTCGTTAAACAAGATATTCGAATTTCCTCGATTAATGAACTAATTGTAGCAATATATGTATGTATATTTATGCGTAATTAGTGAATATACATTTAGAGTGTAACTTTTTTTTTATTGCTTGGTTTGGTGGACGAACTCACAGCCCACCTGGTGTTAAGTGGTTACTGGAGCCACATAGACATCCACAACGTAAATGCGCCACCCACCTTGAGATATAAGTTCTAAGGTCTCAAGTATAGTTACAACAGCCGACCCACCCTTCAAACCGAAACGCATTACTGCTTCACGGCAGAAATAGGCAGGGTGGTGGTACCCACCCGCGCGGACTCACAAGATGTCCTACCACCAGTACTGATATTGGTTAATTGATAATGAAATAAATCTACAGCTGCCATTGAAGCTCGAGGTGTCCAACCATTGCTGGATATGCTGAAACGGCTCGGAGGTTGGCCTGTACTTGATGGTCAGTCATGGGACGAGAACTCATTTTCTTGGGAGCAATCGGTGTACAAATTCAGAGATGCCGGCTACTCCGTCGATTACTTCCTCGATTTCTCTATCAGCGTGGATGTTAAAAATTCAACGAGACGAGTCATTGATGTAAGAATATATGTACCTAATAATAATCTGAAAATATGGCGACACGATCACTGGAACAAGGCTGTTATTTACATTACATACGACGCGTAATAAAATAACGCTTCATTTAAAAACGTCCGCGTTCCGCCTCAACAATAACTATATTAATAACAGTTGTCAAATTTAAATGGCCTTAAATTTGGCTTCATTGTTTCAGCGATCACTGGTTGTGTTTATTTCAGCGATCACTAGCTGTGCTATATTATATTATTACCTATTAACCTCGCATTTTTACATATTTATGATTTGTTTTTGAAAGATATGTATATATACATGTGTACTGTGTTTTAATTCCACATTTACATCATGTCATCTCATTGTTACGGTCGGCCGACCACCTAGAAAAGGCACTGCATTATAATGTTTGTTATGCACATAACACAGGGAATTATGGTGTAGCAGTTATCAACTTCTATTGTAATCTTTCTGCAATTGTTTGTGCTCAGCGAACTGTTATTTGCGAATTGAATACGATAATCGTTTTGGCAATGTTTCCTATTTAAAACTTATACCGGCAGCTGGACCAGGCCTCGCTCGGATTAAGCCGCGAGTACCTGAACCGCGGCTTCAGTGATAAATTGGTACAAGCATACTATGAGTACATGGTCGATATCGCTATACTCCTTGGAGCTGATAAGACAAAGGCTACAGAAGAACTTAAAGAATCACTGCAATTCGAAATGAAATTAGCCAACGTAAGTCGTTTGTTTACATTTACCGTTTCAGTAGGCATCGACCTGAACTGGCCCCTTGTTACAACAACAGCTTTATGGGCCACAGAGATACGAATCTTTACGAGTTCCGTTGACTTTGATGTAAAATGAATCACTGCGAACTGTTTTATGTTGACGGTCAAGTTGACCATAACTGGTTATTGACCAAGGTTTCGGGATTTATAATAACTGATCAAATTGATTCGGCGTTTCGCCTCAAATTGGAAGTCAATCGAATGTGTCATTTGATCGAGTTTCATATTCTTTTTATCGTTTGAAGTTTAAATGAATTCATTGAATTCGGATATTAGTGTCAGGGAAAATTTAACAAATATTTATTTTTAGATTTCGTTACCTCTGGAGAAACGTCGTAACGCAACGAGTCTCTACAACCCTATGACCATTGCTGAACTTCAACAGAAATTCCCCAAGTACGCTTTTGTTTATTTTGTAATTTAATTAAAGAAAATTTGCAATTCCCGTTCTTTTATTCGACTTCTCCATAAATTTGAATTAGCAAACGTGCATTATAAACATTATGGCAGTCTTTAATTTATTATTTTAGGGTTCCGTGGTTGGAATACATCAACAGACTGCTTGCGCCACACATTACGGTCGATGTTAATGAACTTACCATTGTCAGCGTACCCAAATACATCACCGATCTTGAGGTATGTTGTTGAATCAAAATTGAATGTTTGTCAATTTCGCCTTTTTATTGAACCATGATTTTTATTGTAGTTTAATAGAAACTAGTGGTCCCGCAGTAGTCGAAATTGGACTATAATTCTTCGACTATATTTCTTTATTATAATTTAATCTATTCTCTATTTGACCACAGACGTCAAGAACAAAAGTTTGACAATAATTAAATAGCATGCATGCGTGTGTGCGTCAAATACAGGGTAGTGTGTGTAATGTTTTTTTTATTGATTTAATGTATGTCTAATTTAGGCATAATTAAAAAAAATTATTAACATTCTGCACTCCTTCTCTATATTCTCTTTAAGTGTGGGAAATGTCATAGTCCTCCGTTCGCGCAATTTTTGTAAAAAGGGATACAAAGTTTTTCCTTCACGTATTAATATATAGATATTTAAAATTGAAATTGTTATTTAGATATCTCGAGTCTGACAGTTTAATTTTCCAATTAAGGCTTTACTGGAGAAGACTCCTAAACGTGTACAAGCTAACTACGTCATGTGGAGAGTTGCCGGGGCATCAGTTTCGTACCTAACTGACGATCTGAGGAGACGACAATTGGCCTACATCACAGCTTTGTCAGGAAAAACTGAACGCGAGAGTAGATGGAAAGAATGCGCCGATACGACCAGTGCTAGGTAAAACCTGGAAAATTTGCTAAACTCATTATGACGTTGCGTACTAACTATTATTATCTCGAGTTAGACCACAAAAAAGAAACCTATTAAATTTATTTTTGCACGTGTACTGTTCTTATTGAGTTTCCTGAATCAATTGCTTTTTATGAAAACCACTCGCGATCATAAATTAAAAAGAAGAAAAAAAAACTTCTATAATTAGTTTCGCAGTCGAAGTGAGGTAATATTTGTAAATTTTTTTAATTGTTTTAATAAATTGCGATCGAACATTTGTATGTATGTTCAAAAACGTAACTAATAAGCTAAAATTGAGAATTTCTCGATTTATTTTGTTAAATGCTTCCCTAAACGGATGTTTATCCGTAATTAAAATTTACCGAACATTAATTACGAATAGAAAAGAAAATTATTCATTATCGGCGAAGGAAAACAACAATTAAAGTAGCATTACAGTATTGTATGTTGTCTTTTGATCGTGGTATCTAAAATCAATAGGTGATACGGGATAATTGAAACTATAACAAAAAAAAAATACAATATTAAAAAATATTTTAAAGCTATATAAAAAAATATTGTTGCGACGCACATAAAGTGCATTTCGTAAGATTTATGTTTTAACAACAACATAAAAGAATAAGAGGAAAACAAGGAAGAGACAGAAAAGTTCAAAAATAGCAAAAGATGTTTAAAATGTATCCTTGTAATTCCAATAAAACTTCCAACGCAATTTAAAAAGATATAAAAATCGTTTTCACTGTTGTCTTCTTTCGCATTTTTTTTTTATAACATCTAGAGCCTGGTTCGTACACAGACGTGCCTAATCTCAAAATTAGTCGTTCCAATTATAACTCAGTAATTAAATTCAAATCATGCGCAAACAATAAACTGTCCGTGGCGGAAGATTAAACCGGAGATGTTTATATTGCAGCATGTCCATCGCTGTAGGGGCGCTGTACATCAGGAAATATTTCAATGAAAACTCAAAGGCGAATGCTTTAGAAATGGTCAATGATATCAGGTAAGATTTATTTATCTATACATATAAATAAAATTGGAGTGTCTGTTTGTAATATTGAAATAATCGCTTTTTACTACATGCATATGAATATGTATACGATACATACACCAAAATAAGTTTTTTTACGATTTTTGTCTGTCTGTCTGTTTGTTCCGGGTAATCTCTGGAACGGCTGGACCGATTTTGACGAGACTTTCACTGATAGGTAACTAATGATATAAGGAGTAACTTAGGCTAGTTTTTTTAGACTAGCTTCACCCGCGGCGTCACCCGCGGTACGACAATAACCGCGAGTAAAGTCACGGGACTCAGCTATCAATAATAAAATTTAATGTTTCCGAAGCGAAGCGAGGGCGGGTCGCTAGTATTTTAATAAATTTTAAACTGCATTATAGAATCGATTACTAACATTATTGAACGCGTTATCTCTCAACAATAATGTTGAACAACGATTGCTTATTTGATTTATCTTGATTATTATATTATGCGATACAGGTATTTGCGTTTTTATTCGGCGTACTTGAAATGATTTCGGGCAATTACATTAAAAAAGCTTAAAGAATAAAGGACATGGGAATTACGAGTATTTTTATAACTAATTATGACAGTGCGATTTTTTTAAACTACTCGTTGATTTATCGAAAAAATACGAGATCATATTATTATCATTGACCTTTTGATGCTCTGCGGTTACAGGTCCTTAGCCTCCAAAATTATTAACGTTGCTGTAATCATCTTAATTCAAGTACACACCAATCTATATGTATTTTTATTTTAAGGTTAAAAACAAAATTTAGCTTTCAATTGTTTCAAACTAAACGGTTGAAATAGCAAGAAATAAACTATTACAAAAAACACGTAGTTTTCTAATATAATTTAATTGCGTAAACATCTTTTTATATTGAACCATAAAATACCTTTGGACCTTTTCTAGCAGATACTAACGACCTAATAAACGCTCTGCAACCAATCCTGGCTTACACCGTCTTTTGTTTTCGATCGTATTAGAAGCTGATTGCCGAAAGACATGCTCCATGTAACTGTTCCATTTCCTAATTATGGAAATATTGTGTGAACAGAATACAATATGAGAAGGAACTTATGAATTAAATAAATTATATTTATTTTTATTAATCGTGATAATATTAGTGATATGTTTGAGTAAGTATTGTTTTTCTTGAACCAGACAACAGTTTCGTAAGACTCTGACCAAGGTGGACTGGATGGATGATATGACTCGCCAAGAGGCTCTGGAGAAAGCTGATGCTATGGCTTCACACATCGCCTACCCCAGTGAAATGCTTGACAACAACAGACTCACCGAATTCTACTCTGGTGTAAGTTTTATTCATAATTAACTCTAGAACTTTATTGAATTCAGCGGGCAAACGATCTTGCGGCCCACCAATTGTAAGTGGCTTTCAGACCCACAGAAAGTGAAAACTACCGCCAAACTTAAAACACGAGGTGAAAGTGAGACTGCTGTAGAAGTTTATTTCTAGCTTACTGTAACCAATCGTGATCAAATAGACTTTCTGTCTTCCAAGGCAATAATAAGATTTATTCTAGCCTTAAGAACGTAACGAATAAATAAATAATTAGATACTGATAATAAATAATAAAACTAGGAAGACTGAGACCAGAAAAAAATTCGATAGGTGATCGTAATTATCTGCGTATTTATATAATCTAATCAATGGCAGACATGCTCTTAGAATAATGGTTAAAATCCTTATTTTTGTTGTATTTTAATGAATATTGACCTTCGGATTCATTTACAGCTGGAAATGTCATCGGAACACTTGATGGAGTCCGTGCTCAACTTGACATTGTTCACTACTGAGTACTTATTCGGTAAACTGAGGGAGCCCGTCAACAAGACTGACTGGGTCACCCACGGTCGCCCAGCTATCGTCAACGCTTTCTATTCGTCTATTGAGAACAGCATACGTAAGTTAAAATGAATCTGCTAGCATTGTTTATTTAACTGAAAATACTCATTGTTTTCGATTAATTTTTATTTTATCAACTAAAATTGTATCCTCTGAAACGTAACTGTTCTTCTGAATTATAGAATTTCCGGCTGGTATCCTACAAGGAGCATTCTTCTCTGCCAAACGTCCTGCTTACATGAATTACGGTGCTATTGGTTTCGTCATTGGACATGAAATCACGCACGGTTTTGATGACCAGGTAAAATATTCTTACAATAACAATATTATAATATACTTTACTACATATTATAATAGCTAATATACTAGCTATTATTATTATATTATTAGAGAGTCCAACGCTCATATAAATATTAGCCTATCTACATGTATTATCTACACGGATACCAAGTTTCAAGTCAATCGGATGCATGGTTCAGTTATATATTCAGTTATAACGGAACATCCGTAAAAACCACTGTAGATTTATATATTAGTATAGATTACGCTGATATTGTTATTGAAAAAAAATATTAGTTAGTCACAAAGGCTTATTGATTTAAAATTACAGGGCCGGCAATTCGATAAAAACGGAAACCTTGTGGACTGGTGGCAGGAAATGACCAAAGAGAAGTATCTGGATAAAGCCAAATGTATCATCGATCAATACTCAAACTACACTGTTAAAGAAGTCGGATTGAAGGTATCTTTATTTAAAATTATTTAAAAAGTGGAGATTAAGAAACTTGGTATGTGTTAAAAAAATAGAAATTTAGTAAAAAATTGGAGGCGCTCCATTAAATTCATAGAAATAATTTATTTCTATATAGATACGTACAAATAAACCAGTCAAACACATTCGTTGTGACCAGGAACGTCTTAAATTAGGCTGGGGCCCTTGGGCACACAAGAATTTGAGGCCCTTTTGGAAAGTAAAAAAAGCAAATTATAATAACATTTTTTTACTGAGTATGACCATTTATTATAGGTAATCAAATACGGTATGATATAATATGTCATTAATGATATTAGAATACTGCTGGTTTTTTGGTTACGATCACGATAACGGAAACCGAATAAATGTGTGAGAGAAATTGTCGGTCCTTAGGGGCCCCCTGAGAATGGGCACGGGCCCCGTGTGCCCTTATGATAAAGACGGTATTGGTTGTGACTACCGCGGAACATGACATTAGTATTAAATTTTAATATACCCACAGAAAACCTTTCTGTATCTACAACAGCCGAACAATGTTTTTGTTTAAATAATCGCTTAAACAATTCACGAGTACATAGCACACGAACAAACGAAATTATAAAAAGCCATTACACCTACAAACATTTGTTTTTATAAATTACTAGCAAACCCAGCCACACGTTACTAAGGTTTTTTGTTTCTAAATAACACGTGGCCGACTATGCTAGTACCAAAACTTAACAAAGTAAGAACAATTGGATTTCACTGTACTGCGCTTACTATGAAATAAATTTCACTTATTAAGCTATTGCATAGCTTCTATCGCGGGCCTTGAGCGCGGCGACTGAATCAAGAAATTCCGTAACTAAAATAACCTGACACCCCCACTACGTCTACTATGTAGCTCTCGTTCAACACATTCACACGTTGCGCTGGTGTAGTGTTTGTGAATAAGCGCGCGGCGTGACGTCGCACTGCATGAGCATCATGAAAAGTCTGCCCATCCCTCTCTCACGCCGTCTAGCTTATGAGTGTGGAGGGGACAGTTAATGTTTTGCTTTTGTTAATGTTTATAAATATAGCGTGGTCTTATTTTTATTATTATTTTAATATTAAATTATTATTGTCTAAAGGTAATTGCATAAGTTGATAAAAAATGCTTTGCAATAGCTTTACCGCGCTTATATACTTTAAAATAGGTAAAGCTAATCTATTTTAGACTTATGAAACTTACAATTATAGCAATAATCAACATAAGAAATCATGTTATTGTTAATTAATAAATATTGCAACCATTAATACAAATAAAAATTATCCTCTGACCTAAATTGGAACAAAACACATATTTAAAATAAAATAAAAGTTAAAATCGGTTCAGTAGTTTAGGTATCCATCGCGGACAAACAACGTGACACGTAATGTACATGTAGGTATTAAGATAAGAATTATTTATTTAGTTGAATGGAGTGAACACACAAGGCGAGAACATTGCGGATAACGGAGGCATCAAAGAAGCTTACTACGCGTATCAAGCCTGGACTCACAGGCATGGTGAAGAAGCACGCCTGCCTGGATTGGAAAAATACAGTCCCCGACAGGTAAACAACTCTAAATCTAAACTAAGCATATGAAACAATTTTAACATAACTGTTTTTACTCACTTATACTATGCAACAAACTTCTCGTAGATTAGGGATAATTGCACTTTGGTTACACTGAGCCACACACATAAACAGGGAAAATTTACAAAATATTATTAAATGAGTACATGTTATAATAAAGATATCCTAAACCAGAAGAAATAGGTGTGTACGGGCATAACCCAAATACTTGTTCGTACTATCGCTGTATGGAGTACAAATTGGAACCCACATGCTTTCCTTATTCATATAGACGCCAAATGTATAGTTTAGCCGTGCTTCTAGCATTATTTACGTCTATGACTGATGTTAAGCAAATACCGATCCATATAGAACTTGCGTTAATGAAAGGAAAAATCCGATCTATTCTCTCAAGATGGAGACAAACTAAGTCAACTCGAATAGTTAAAAATAAAAATATTAATAAGTAGTTAAATTATCACCTTAAATTAACAGACATCGAGTAGGTAATCGAAACTTTGAAAATAATAAAATGAAAATATGAAAGGCGAGATTGCAGATTCAGAAACAGACACGCAATTGAACCAAAGAAAATGAAACAGTCGTGTGGTCTAACAATAAAAAAAATACAAATTAAAACTCTTTGTGGAGATTATTGTCTTGATATCTGTTTCATATTTTTGGGAAACTTGTTTTTTATGCAGGATTAACGTGAGCTCACCTGTCTATTTGTTTGCAAAAAAATACATCTCATATTAATTTGAAACCTTTCAGCTTTTCTGGCTTAGTGCTGCCAACACTTGGTGCGCAGTGTACCGCAATGAGGCAATCAAGTTGAGAATCACAACTGGATTCCATGCCCCCGGAAGATTCCGCGTCATTGGCCCCATGTCTAATATGGAAGAATTTGCCTCAGACTTCAAATGCCCTATGGGATCACCTATGAACCCTGACAAGAAATGCAAAGTGTGGTAGAATATTTGCTTCAAAACCACACATTGCTGTCTCTCATATTAAAACCGATCGTGCGAGCTAATTGCGTCACTAGTAATTTAGTATATTGAAATTAAATTACATAAATATTCTAAGAGTTCTTAGCTCGGCAGGGCCTATTTAGAGTCTACGGTTAGTGCAACTAAATAGATTAGATTTCACAAATTACTTTGATGTAGTTCACTTTGTAAATAGGAGAATATCATTATTTTGTTTTACTAGTTTGTACACTATCACGAATCGCTGCAAATAACTTCATTTACATGGGCTTAGACTGAGGAAATATACTATTTTAGACGGGTATAATAATATTTTAATAGCTTGTAGGTACATCAAAATACAAATCTGTTGTCAAATTTGTTTGCAATTCCCAAGCTATTACTAGAAATGCGTGGAAATATTAAGCTCGTGTCAATATCTTCGTTGAAATTGTCTTTCTTATTTATTGTAGGTCGCAGCGGCAATGCGTTGCCGGTATATACTCGAATTTAAAATTATACTTAAGTAGTTAGTGTTCTTAGGTCTAATTATATTGTTTGAGCTGTATTGTCGCTGTGGCCCATAGAATAAACTACTCTGTCGAATCTCAATTGAAGCGTACATTGAAATTTAATTATGTTATTATTATAATTAAGTATTGTTAAGTTACACCCTTGAATACAACCATATTGTTGTGAATCATCGAAACACCAATAAAAATAATTTTATCTAAAGACTAGACTTTCATTTTGCCGGATCCCTGTGTAGATACTGCTAAAGACCTACGAATATAATTAAACCTTCTTTAAATGAAATTTTGTAGAGATGCGATACCTACTGTTTCATTTACAATAATAATACGCTACGTAAACGAACATTGCAAATGTACAATAGTGCACGAATGCTATAGTTCCAGTAGGTAAGATTTCTGCTAGGTAAGTACCACAAACCTATATAAACTAAATTAAATGTTTTTAAATATTATCGGTACATATGTAGTTGTTTTTTAATAATTAAATATAAACGTTATCGCTTGGCATCATCGTCAGTGGCACAAAGAAAATGAAGTCGTTGCCTCAAAAATTGTTTTATATATATGACACGGCACTCCTTCTATCAATGTCACCCGTTTATATATATTTTAGTGCCCTTGTAGACAGTAGACCTGTGTCGGTTAATCGTTTTCCATGACCTGGGTCGATCGTGACCCATTCGTATAGTGATCAGGTTATAAAGATTCGATCATTTCAATCATTTCCGTCACAGTTCGTATGTATCTATTTAATATAAAAATGACCGAAGGATTGCGCGATCGATCTCGTTTTTACGTTAGAACGAGAATAAGGACTATGCGTTAGACTCCAAAAAGGACAGTTTTTATTTTTTTCGTAATCTGTATTGCTATAAAAAAGTAACTATACAATTATTATTTTTAAGATTTATTATCGTCACTTAATATATTTTAGTAAAAGTACTAACATACACAAACAACATACTAGGTACCGGGAATATACCGAAACGCTATCGCAAATCAGTACTCAGAGTCACCGATGGAATGATTGATTCATTCATTCTCAAAATTAAAATTCGCTCCCGCGATTGACAAGTCGCGTGCGACCCGAAAGATCCCGCGCAATCCGGTTTATTTTGGATACAATCATGCAACGCACAACAAACAACAAGATAGAAAGAGTGCACTGCGTGAACAGGATTGTATGTATTTATGTATGTACTTAAACGAAAGAGAGCTACGTCATTTCGTGATTGAATGCACGAAATAATCGATTAATTAAGCAACAAGCTACGGTGATGTTCCACAAATAAAGTCCAATTTCGTTTGTGATGTCACCTGGTGATCGATTCTCTGGAAGACCGAATCTTTCAAACACCGACGACCCGTTCACACGCGTATGGGTCGTGATCGGCAGCTGTATCACGTATTTCGCAGACAATTAGCAGAAGACAAATATTGTGCAAATATTGCTGTCAACTGTCCATTTCGTATTACGGACTTACAACAAAAAAGCAGATCGCGGATCATCACTAGTGCTGCCTCTGCAGAGCGATTTGTGAAACTTTAGTGCATTCTTTTCCATACAACTAACAACAACTGGCCTAAAGTCGGTATTACGGATGCTTTTGTTTGCCACACAACAGCAGATATTTAGCAATTTCGTTTGTCAAATTTGCGACACCTTTTGTATCTGGTGCTGAATTGTTGCTAACTATCTGCAAGTGTAAAATTTGTGAAATTAAATTATTTTAACTTGATTTAGGTAAGTGTAATTGGTTTAGATCTTTATTTGTGTTTGTGTTTTCCATAGTATTAACATTAAATACCACGCTGGGCAATTTAAGTACATTAATAATGTTGAGGTTATAAAGTTTATTTTTTACAAAATAATATTTCTTCTAGGTATGTATGGACAGAGCTCAAATAATGGGGCTTTGGAGTCTAAGGAAATTAGGTGGGATACATACGAATCAGTGCGTTTGCGACGCTGTCTCCTTAATCTATCGGAAAGTTTGTTCAGAACACATTACAGAATTTCGAAACATCAATATTTACAATTGTGCTCTGAATTAAAGCCGTTAATAACCTAGATCATCAAGACGAACAAGAATAGAAAGTAAAATGCAAGGTAC